TCCAATGTAATAAGGGAAACGAGGAAAGGAGTGGTTAGGAGGGATTGACCCCACTCCTTCGTCTCTTGAAATGAACCCCGTGAATGAAACTTCGCGGCCCTCGCCAACACAATCAGTACTGGTAGTAACGAATGCGTTGAGCAATGAGAGCGAGAATTGCTATGATTATGTTACTTATGAAAACGTCGGTAAAAAGAAGGGGAGTATTGACGATAGTAAAGCCCAGGACCATATACCGGCCGAGGTGGTGGAGAGTGAATTGCCCACGCTCTCGGAGGCGCTGGTAACGGCAGATAAACCGTCAAGCTATACTCCCGAAGGACCTCCGATAGTCCGAACCGAGGTGGTTCGAACGAATGTCGACGTCACTTTATCGCGCAAGAACACAGTAGCTAGCGCTATGGTGTGCCAAGAGCAAGACTGTGGAGTCGCTGAAACAGTTTCGATATATTCCCCGAAACAGAAAACGCGCTGGTAGCTACCGGTGAAAATAGGAGACTTCCAAATAAGGGCTCTCTATAATCCGGGAGCTTCCACCACAGCAATGGGAAGTAATGCTCTGCAGATAGCGTCCGTGCTAGGCATCAGGTTGGATACCACCCACGCGGGTAAACCAGGACTGCCAGATTGACGAAAACTGACAATCGTCGGTCATACGATGTTGCCATTCACCGTAGGTGATATGACAATGCCGACGAGGGTAGCTATACTCCCAATCCTCGTCGATAAATGTATTCTAGGAGTAAATTTTGTTCGATTGTTTAGGGCGGTTCTTGATTCTGACGATAATACGTTATTGCTCAAGAAATCGCAATCAAAAATGAAACTAGAGGCAGCTAGTTTAGAGCTGGTCCGAGATTAGCTACTATCGGACTAGCCGAAGTAACGGCCTCTCAATAGGCAGTATTACAGAAGACCATCAACGAGGCCTTATCGCAGGCCCCCGCGGGATTGGGATGTGCGGCAGGAATTGAGCATGAGATTCGAGTCGGTGATACGAAACGGATCAAGCAGCGATATTACCCAGTGTCACCCAAGGTCGAGCAAGAAATGCATAGATCGCTAAAGGAAATGTTGGCCCAAGGGGTGATTGAACCGGCAAATGGCGGCTGGTCAAGCCCGGTGGTAATGATGGCTCGTACCGATTTTGTAGAGACTTTCGGAAGGACAACAAGGTCACCGAGCCAAACGCGTACTCCTTACCATTCATGCAGGATATATTGAGACGTTTGCGAAATGCACGCTATATCTCCACGCTCGATCTTAGTAGCGCGTATCACCAGATACCACTCAAACCCAAATCTCGACCCATCACTGCCTTTACCGTGCCAGGATTGGGGTACTTCCAGTTCGTGCGAATGCCATTCGGTCTCTCGTATGCCGGCGCCACCTTCCAACGGTTGATAGACAGCGTGATCAGATCTGAGCTCGGCGATTTCACCCCCACCTATTTCGACGATATCATCGTAGTATTGTCCAAATTTGAAGATCACCTACGGCATCTTAGAACCGTGTTGGATAGGTTAAGCCAAGCCGGACTCTCGAATAATCGAGAGAAGAGCATCTTCTGCAAGCCGGAGGCTAAGTACGAGAGTGGTCCGATAAGTACTTAGCCTACAAAAGAAAAACGAAAATTTTGGAAAAGTGGCATTTTATTTTACAACATAGTCTTCTTTTAGTTCGATACACTTGGCCCAGCGATGCTCCAACTTCTTTAACCCGTCTGAAAAATACGTTTCCTCGAGGTCTAAAAAGTAGACTTCCGTGGCAGCGATTACCTCCTCATTCGACTCAAATTTCTGCCCGGCGAGTGACTTTTTCAAGTTTGGAAACAAAAAGAAGTCGCACGGGGCTAAATCTGGAGAATACGGTGGATGGGGCAGCAGTTCGTAGCCTAATTCGACCAATTTGGCCATGGCGACGGCGGAGGTGTGAGCCGGTGCGTTGTCATGGTGGAAGAGCATTTTTTTCTTCGCCAAATGGGGCCGTCTTTTCTGCAATTCGACGTCGAATCGGCCCAATAATTCGGCATAGTACAGCCCTGTGACCGTTTTGCCCCTCTCCAGGTAGTCGATGTAGATCACACCTTGTGAATCCCAGAAAACGGTGGCCATCACCTTTCCGGCCGATGGGGCAGTCTTCGCCTTCTTCGGAGTACTTTCGCCGGGTAAAATCCACTGTTTCGACTGTTCCTTGGTCTCTGGTGTATACCAGTGGATCCATGTTTCGTCGACTGTCATAAAACGACGCAGAAACTCATTCGGATTGCGCTTAAACAGCGTCAGACATTGCTCTGAAATTGTCTCACGGTTGCGCTTGTTGACCGGAGTGAGCAAACGCGGCACCCATCGCGCCGACAACTTTCTCATGCCCAAAATTTCATGCAGGACATGATCCCACGCGGTCTTTTGAGATGCCTACGATCTTAGCTATCTCGCGCACCTTCAACCGTCGATCTGCCAATACGAGATCGTGAATTTTTGTCACGTTATCCTCTGTGGTAGCCGTTTTCGGAGCACCTGGACATGGCTCTTCAAAAATCGACGTGCGACCACGTTGAAACTCGTTAAACCAATTTTTGACGGTCGCCATCGAAGGAGAAGAGTCACCGTACACAGCATCTAAGCGCTTTTTGATTTCGCTGCGCGATTTTCCTTCCAAAAACAAGAATCGAATCACCGACCGATACTGCTTTTTTTCTATTTTTCAAAAAATCAACGGACACACTTGCTTTCACACGCTTTCAAAAATAAACTACCACTCCGATCCGGCTAAAATCTTGACAGTAACCATCGAGAAGGTTGTACTACGTGATAGAATATTTCTTTTGCGAGAGTGGCACCATCGAGCGGTGAGACTAAGTACTTATCGGACCACCCTCGTATGTAGGTTTGCTGATTATCCGAGAAGGAATCAGACCCGACCCTGAAAAGTTGCGCTCTATCGTGGAGTACCCCCGATCAGGATACATACGATGGCTGCGTACTTTTATAGGGCTTGTTTCATGGTATCGCCGCTTCTTGAGTGATTTCGCCATACACGCTCAACCGTTAATGAAACTAACTGGGAAAAAGTGCGAATACATGTTGGGATCAGATCATGAACAAGCTTTCGCCAAACTTAAGTCACTCATGATATCCGCACCGTGTCTCGGATTACCAGATCTTGCAGAATTCAATTCCGGTCGTAGAATTGTTTTACCATGTCAAGTTTTTGAGATATTTTAACCTAAACGTGCAAGATTTGAATTGAATCCAAAAAAAATTTTTTTTCTCAAAATTATATTTAAACTGCAGATCTTTCTTCTATATATAAAAATACATCTTTTTTCTTTCTAAAATTTCTTTCTATCTCGTTTATTTTTGTATATATTCGTGTTAGATGTTCGTTAGATTCTTTCGAGTCTGCTAACAGTTTTTTTCATGCCTACAAGATCTACATCTGCAGCCTGTTAACCCCTTGAGTGGCAGTGAATCACATATGTATAAATCGAAATTACTTTAATAATTCTCCATGAAACATCACTAAACTCCGTATATAAATGTTTTTGTGGTCTTGGATTCGATCTCCGTCGTTAGTTTTGGCCTACGAAGTTCCTACTGGGTGAAAAATAGGGAAGATGAGATAATTTCCTATATTTTCACGAAAAAAAAATTTTATCTTGATTTCGATGTTTTTATAGTTTCTTAAATTCAAAAATTTCTTATTGCTACAAAAAAGTCTGATGGAGCTGAAAATAATAGTTGAAAGTTAAATTTTTATTTTTGTGTAAAAATTTTTTTTTTTTGGTTTTAGTATTTTTATGGTCTGTTATTATATGAAGAGATTTCTTTTGTTACAGAAAAGTCTAGTGGAGTCAAAAATAGAGGTTGAAAACAAAGTTTGAAGTCAAAAATTATTTCCATATATATGTTTAGGATCTCTTGTGTAATTGCAAAGAATACTTCTCTGAATAACAAATTCCAATAAAATGAAAGTAAGACTTGTAGTTTTTCATTTTATGCAAACTTTCTATCTTAAAACTTCTATTCTAATTTAGATAAGAAAATTTCTACTCTAATTGTTATTTCACTGAACATATTAATATATTTGAGTGAGTAACTATAAAAACCCGAAAAAAAATTTATTTTTATGAAAAATTAAAAATTATCCTTTCAACCCCTATTTACATTCTTTATTTTTGACCCCATTGGAATAAATTAGATAAAAAATAACGACGAGAGTGATTTCAGCGGACTAAATAACCTCTAGAAATACCAATTTTAATTAATTAAATGTAATATTTGCGGCTACCACTTTGGGCACGGAAAGTTAGAAAACCATTGCCACTCAAGGGGTCAAAGTCAAATTAAATCTTTTGATGTGATATTTGATGTTTTGGAAGTCTGCAATAGCATTTTTGAAAAGTTTTCACATCTTACTTTTGGTTGTTGAGTAATAACACTTTTTAACTCTGCCGATTTTTATGTTAGGTATCCAAAAGTTTGTGGGAGGGAGTGTGTGGGTATGTGTACTTAAATCCTTGAGCGATTTGGAAAAGAAATTGATGTTTGCTACTTATTCCTACCTCATAAGGTTAAGTTAGTGGCCGCTGATCCATTAAACCAGCGGTAGATTTCAGCGACTCACGTACGCATTCATCTCTTAATGCGGATGGTTAACGATGCTAAAGCCAAATTGATGCCCAACTTTTGTTTCACATATGAATCTTATATATTGAAACGTTACGATTATACGAAAAAGATTCATATATTTATATTAATGGAACTGTGTAAGATTATTTGATTGTATTCTTGCAGGTATTCCATTTTTCTCATTCTTACTTTTATTGGTAGAGCTACTAATAATTCCTCTAGTACTTACAAAATATTTATCTTCCAGATTCCTCTTTTAAATAATTTTTATCTGTGATCACGGACACACTAGTAAAGTTGCTTCTTACGTCACAACTTGGTCACGTTATGGTAATAAATTAAACAAATTTTTATTTAATGACTTACCAGCAATAGCCGAAGCATGATGCTGTACCATATCTTTAAGATTCGGTGCGCTTGATGATCCACTAATAACAGCGGTACTAAAGAGACTGTTGGTTGAGCCAGTGAGCTTTTTATTGATATTGTAACCCATAAGCTTGAAGTAATTCATTTGTCCGGAAATACTATGACGATGACGTTTTGCTATATAGACAACATCAAATTCATTGAATAAACTTTATGTATAATTTGAGTAAAATAATTATGTTATACATATTTATGAATTCAATATTAGTAACTGTTGAGAAGAACAAGTAATTAAACAAGTACTAATAATTCTAAAGTAAAAATACTATTAACTATTACTATTGAAAGTAATAGTGTAGTATATTATTATTAATTTGATTAAGAATGTGAATGTTATTACCATTATTATTATCATTGAAATTTGTAAAACAAAAACCAACGACAGTTCTTAAAAGATTGAGTGATAAGTCAGCTTTTATACATTTGAAATATACACAATTAATTTATAAGTTCAGATTCCTGTTATAAAAATATTTGTCTCTGTATTCCATTCGTCGTGAGAGTTGCAATGTGAAATGGAATGATAGATCGAAAAAGGTTACATGAGTGTGAGCTAGCCAGGCTTACAGTCGTGAAGTTGAAAAAAATGTAGTTGATAAGGTAGAAGCCTTTTGTTCCAGTGTTAGCGGCTGGACTTTTCATCCTATTGTAAAAACTAACGTTATTTAATGTTACGATTTGGAACATTTGATAATGTAATTTTTTTCAGCTGATAACATCATTTTTCAAATAATGACGTGATTTTTTGCGATGAATAACGTTATTTACAGCGAATGAGGTTCTTTTTGAGGGAGTCATTTTCCGACAATAAAAGAACGTTATTCATGTAGTGTATAAGGTTATGACAGGATGAATACGCATGAAATTCATATTTAAGGTTTTCTCCATTTTTTTACTTATTTATCATTATCATGAGTAAATATTAATTATAAGATAATTACAAGATTAATTTACATATGGAATAATTCATATTTATTAAGTAGACTATTAATACATATTTATTTACGAAGTTGAGAAGAGCATATTAATTTATTTAAAGTTTTCATTTAAATACTCCGAAAATGAATTTCATCATATAATATTTATGAATAATTCAGAAACGTTTCATAAGAGTACTTATTTGGTACAGAACATAAGAATCTTCCACTATTACAATTTATGTAAACGTAAATTCTATATGTGTTAGTATCCATAACTCGTAATTCTTGACTAATAGTTGTTATCCTTTTTATCTGAAATTGGTTCAATTCTTTGTTATCACAAATATCTAAACTTCGACTACTTTACATACAGTGTACTCCTGCCTTTGCAATCAATATCAATAATAAAAAAAAAATTTGTACATAACTATTGTCAATTATCTTTGCGAAAAAATTGTTTGACCGTACTCTTATAGTATTGCAAGACAAATTTACGTAATCCATTTTTACTAGTTTCTGGTAAACTCTAGCTGTATTAGATAGATTCAGTCTTCTTTTCCACTCGTGTATTGGATGAGTGTATTTTCCAAAATATCTTTCAATATTAGTTGTGATAATGCGTTATCACTAGAAAACGGCGTGCCCGCTATTTTCTATACTACTCCCGATTCCGAAAATACGCTTCTTTTCCGCTTCAAAACCTCGTGAATCACGACCTCTCAGGATCCGCCCGACTGATGCGTACCATCCTTACCCAAATCCCGCACACACACTTTCACACACAGGAACTCGGGCCGACGCTTCCTCAGGAAATTAGAGGATGTGGAAGTTCCAAGCACTGAGGAGTAGTTACGAAGAGTGGCAACGGGACGGCCATATTGCGACGCGATCGGCAACGAGCATGAGTCAGAGAGATCGGGAAGAGAGAGAGAGAGTAAGAGCATGAGTGAGAGCGAGGCGACCAGTAGAGTGGGTACAGAGGGGATACCGATACTAAGTAGGGATGAGCGGTAGGGTTAATGAGCATAAGAAAGTAAAGGCTAGATGATAACGGTGCGGGTAACGCTAGACCGATCGACGTGCGCACTCTCGCCTAGCCAATAATAATAGAGATAGGGGTATATTAACGAATAGGAGTAAGCTGACGCTACTTAACTAACCACTAGCAAAATTACGTGGAAAAAAATAACAAAATAGACGGCGCTGATGATCGGGTTGACGACACCTGCTACCAATTGGATCAAAATCTGCAAGAAAATAGGAGAGATAATTGAAGGGACGCGAAACGACGCCGTGCTAGTCGTGGCCTGTTATCTTGGAAGCCGTAGCCGAGAACAGACGCATTCAAGGAGAGAGTAAGCTGTTAGAGTGTCTTTATTAAGTGCCACAATTGACAACGAGAGAGAGAGAGAGAGAGAGAGAGTGAGAGAGAGAGAGAGAGAGAGAGAGAGAGAGAGACAAAGAGCGATAGCCCTCCGGACCGACAACTTCACGGCACTTGTGGATACACCTTACATTTGAATCGTGAACGGAGAAGTGCGCGAAATAGCTTAGTCCTCGTGGATTCGCTTCATTTCGATCAACCCGAACCCACGGCTGATCTACAGTGCGTGAATAGTTGTCGCCTTTATTCTCAAGTGTTCTCTGATCGATCAACCGACCTGATCTGTATCTATCACAAATACGGGCTGTGATCACGTTGCGGTTATTAATAAGAAACGACTCGTGTGCTGCAAATGGGAATAACGTCGGTACGGATAGTTAGGTTGCCTCCGCGTCGTCTAATAAAATAACGGAATAGTAATTGTAGGAATAGATTAAATTGGCATTGGACAAACGAGTAGATTAGGACAATAGCAATAAATAGAGCAAATTAGCATTGAGCAGACTAATAGGTTAGAACAATAGCAATGGATAAAAATATTGAGTAGCTTGACCATGGCATAGAGGTTAGTAGGGAAGCATAGCAGCAATTTGGAATGTAGCATAGCTTGACCTTGGACCCACAAGTTGCAAAAAGCATAGCAATAGTTCGATGAAAATAACAGCTTGACCTTGAACGACCAACTTGGGAAAATAGGCATCGAAATACTGAGAAAATCATAGAGCTTGACTTTGGGCAGACAGCTTAGTAAGATTTTATTTTATTTTGACTTTATTGAATAAATAGACTTTTCTTGACAATCAGCGTTTCCTTTTTTGCGTAACCTATAATTCACCTCTCCTTCGTAGCTTTGGCGATCAGATTGCCGCGTAGGAGGGACAGGCTAGCATACGTTAGTATATCGATATCGCAATCGTACGCCATTACGTTCAACACTTCTGAGTACCCATAAGACTACTCGCTAAAACTTTGAAGGAGTCATTCCAACTACCCGATTCTGAACAGGAACCCACTCATGACATATCCACCTTTTTTGAAACAGCTAGCCGAGCCATCCCCCGTTATTTCTCTGTTAACCTCATCGCCGCTCGTTCGATAGTTCTTTTGCGTCTCCTACCCTCGCGTAATAATCACAGGTGGCCGACGCGGGCCGAGAACGAGCCGATAGGGTAACTATCGAGAGCCCAACAAGAAGCAGTAGCAGCAGCATCAGCGACAACGGCGGCAGCAACAGCAGCAGCCATAAAGAGCAGCTTGCAGATCGCTCTTCTTTCCCATCGCCTTCCCCACGTTCGCGCATACTTCAGTGAGTCAACCCTTGACGACGTTACCTGTTCTCCTAAAGCGAGGACGGTAGCTGGCGCCCAACACACCCATGATGTACGAATAAAAGCTGCATCTAGAATTTGACTTGACTCTTGATTCTAATCCCCCCCCCCCCGATTCTTAATCGCCACTGCGTATGCACGCGCGCCCGCCGCCGCTCTGGATTTCGAGAAGCGGACAACGCCGAGGAAATTCCTGCTATTATTTTTTCGTCACCTCTCCAGCATCACATAGTAGTTAATACTTTTGCACACTCTCTAGTTTCTAAATACCAAACATAGCTAACAATTTGTGAATTCAAGTTGTTTTGTAACATAAATTTGGTAGAATGCGATTTGATATTGAATACCTTTCATAGTATGTACCAATTTCACAATATATCCGTTTCCATTTTTAAAACCCATACGCAGAGTAACAGTACAAAGGGCCCTAATTTATAACGCTTTGTGCCGTATGGAGTTGCTGATGTATATTGAAGGTTATTGTACTTCTTGAATAATAAAATTTTGTTAGAGTAACGAATATCGTTTGTAAATGATGTGCTTCACAAATTTGGTTTGGACTTATATTATTTTGTAATAGAATATAGTAAGCTCTAATTAGATAAGACTAATGAATAGCGTAGCATCAGACGAGAAATCATAAAACGAACAACTGTACTATAGTATAAATCCAATTTTGATATTATTTTGCTTTCCAATATTTTATATCTCGTACAGAATGAGAGTTTCGTATAAGCTTACTAGGGACAGTTTTGACTTTAAAAAAATTATCGACGCGATCAATTTTTTTATTATTAAGTGAATATGGCATACTTTTTAAGTCAAACCATTATTTAATAAATTGTTTTACAATATTAAAGTAGTTTAGGCGACTGCGAACCGCTTCGTTAATGAAACCATGCTTGCTTAGTGACATAATAGTTATATGATTGCAAATTTGCTAATATTTTTCTATAAAATTGGATGTAATATATTATTATTAAATACGGATAATTAAAAATTATTGTTCATATTGTAATTATCGTTTTTAGTTTATAAAGCAATTAGTGATGGGTTAAGATTAACTATATTTCAGTTACATAGGACCGGATCCATTTCAGATCGGGCAGGCCTACGGCAATGATATCTCCGATTGACTCGGCTGTGGAATATGTTATTCTACTTCAAAAATAAGCCGACACGTATTTTTTTTTTCGATTAGACCTCTACATCATTTTTTACGAGTATTTTAAAAAAGTGGTTAAAAAATAAATTTTCTAAAAATCAAATATTAAAATTTAAAAAAATGCTCTATATTTTCTAATTTTTTTACTTAATATGTTATTTATAGCTTATTTTACTGTATTTCTTATACTCTTTCGAATGCGCCATGCAGAATAAAAAAATATTGAAAATTGGCGGGAAAAACTCAATTTTTCGAAAAAATTTCAAACTCAATTTTCTCAAAAAAGCCATCGTTTTTTTTTTCAAATTTTTATGATAGAT